CCTTTTACCTCCGTTGCAGTCGGCTTCAAATGGATAAATATTGTGTAGAGACATGCAAAGAGTGAAACGATTGTTTCGTAAACGTAATTTCATCCTTGACACTTCGCAGTGCAGCGCGCACCAGCCATCACCTTGGTTTATTTAATATTTTGAATTCTGAATGCAATAGCATCGCACGCAAACTGACTCTCATTTCATGTAGCTAGCATGATTCGCCGCAACCATCGCCCCATTACGTTCGGATGTCGTAAGAGGCTACTGTGGGAAATGTTAGAAATATTTTATGGCATCAGGTACATCGCGCGGTAGGTATATGTATACTGTAGCATTATGATATCATCCTGTTATGATAGTTGTTAGTTGAAATAAATAAATAAATGTTGTCTCCGCCGTCCGTGTCAAAGTTGCGAGACGTCTGCGATCGTCTGTTCCAAGCGTATTGATTTTTTTGATTGATATATTTAGCCAGCTGTGTACTATATTATTTTTCTATCGACTTCAAAAAGGAGCCGGTACTCAATTCGAATGTATGTTTCTGCATGCCTTAAGCGCGAAGCGCGTAGGTATGTTCTGCTAGGGCCTAAAAATTAAGATTTCAACGTTTTGTCCCATGAAATCGTATCTAGCAATCATATTATACATATAAATGATATAAAAACTCATTGTCAGAAAGATAAATGATTGTTGAACTTATTAATATATTTTTTAAATCGATTAATTACTATTTTTACATAAAAAAGGGGCTTTAGTGGATTATGGTGTCGATTTATCAAGTCCGCATGGCGGCGTAAACACGGTAGCTTTTGAAAATATCAATTGTTCACCTCAATCTATTTTTAAAGCTCTTCATCTATCATGTGGAAGCCATGGAATGTAAATGGCAGTTTAATTTTGTTTTGTTTAGTTATAATTAATTTTTTTCGGCTACGAAATGGCGTAATTTTCGGTGGTTTGAGAGCCTTGTATTAATTAATTTTACTAAATAGGCTCCGAGCCACAGCTACTTTTTTTTTAAAACGTTACCCCCACACTAGGATTTTCTCCTGTGTCGTGGCGGCAGTTTACAAACATAAATTGCACAAGAACAAACGTCCAAACCCGGAACAATTATTTGTAGGCCATACAAATAGTTGTTCCGTGCGGGATTCGAACCCGCGGCCCCCAGCGCAACAACTGACTGCTACTTGAACTCCTCGACGGGAAGAACTAGATGTGCCTAGTTTGGGCTCGTTTTGTTAGTTATGAATAAACCTTACCTCCGGACTTGACGGAGTGACTTGAAAGTGTACTTTGAAGACTGCTACTGGACCTCCCCTACGAGGAGTACTAGATGGACCGAGTTTGATCTCGTTTTGTTAGTTATGATGAGACCTTACCTCCGGAATTGATAGAGTGACTTGAAAGTGTACTTAGATGATTGCTACTGGAACTCCTCGACGAGGAGAACTAGATGTGGCGAGCTTAGCCTCGTTTTGTTAGTTATAGAATATAATAGATATATAGAATAGACCTTACCTTCGGACTTGACGGACTCACTAAAAGGTGTACTTCGTTGAGTGCTACTGGAATTCATTGACGAATAGAACTACAATTTACAATTTTTTTTTACCATCATTAGGCATTGTGAGTCGTGTACTTTTAGATTTTCCAAGCCTTTTTTAATTGAAGTTTAACATAAAGGTATCAGAAAATTGGAAGTATAGTTATAAGGTTATTAGTGAAAACTTGTGTATATTTAAACTACTTAAAAATTAGTTATAATCATGTTATACGTAATTTTTTAATGCGCTTAAGGCATGCACAATTGGATTTACCAATATGTTTTTATGTGTGTTACCTCATAACTATTTTTTTGATAAACCGATTTCGATGATTCTTTATTTGAAAGCTGGTGCGTCTCATGTGGTCATGAGTTATGCTTAATAATATATATTCAAGTTGGTTGTACAAAATTTTTAATTTTTAATTATATAAAACTAAAGTTACAAACGAACTCACAGTCCACCTGATGGTAAGTGGCCATGTAATCCATGGACACCTTCCTTTCTTCGTAATGGATCATAAATTATTATTATCATTATTATATTCAGTCTACTTCAAACAAAGATGGTTACAGAGGCGTTGTCACCTCTGAGGACGAATATGAATTGCCTCACAGCTCACAGCCCGTACTTATACTGGCTCCCTGCACCCTTCACCTTCACAACTGTACATCCGTGCTCGACATTTTGACATTTAACAGCCTATTAAAGTCCACTGCTGAACATAGGCCTCTCCCATAGATTGCCGTTTAGAGGGATTTTGCCATAGTTGCCTCACTTGACATTCAGGTTGGCAACCGCAGCTTTTATTATTTCCAGTTGTTATCAGGAAGATGCTGCTGCTCATCTCCTGTGTGTCTCTGTCGCCTCTTACGACACCCACGGGACGAAATGAGGGATGTAAGGATATCCACTAGGATATCTTTACATCGCCACTACTCGGTCAAAGATTACCATTAATAAAATAACAAAGGTCCAATTAATGTAGCTGTGTTGACGTCACAATTGAAAGGACGGCCGAAAGAGATCACGATTCATCAGTTAAGCGACTTTTCGTGTGCTCGCTGTCACATGAACATATTGATTAGTGTATATAACAATAGACTTAACGACTAGACAATTGTTTGGGGTCGGATGTTTGTCTACTCTATATAAAATTATGTACGTATGCAAAACGTCTGTGCAAAGAATCCTAGTATCAGAGTATAAAAGAAAACCGAACAAGTGTAAGTAGTGGCCTAAGCGTTCTTCGTAAACTTAGCTAAGTACCTACTTTCTGCAAAGTAATTCAGATTTTACTAAGAAGAAAGAGACGCTTTATTTTAGCACAGTCCATTAACGTTCACAACAATATCGGTACTACTCGTAATTGACAAAAATACAAAAATTAATAAATTTAGCTTTATACGTCGAAGGCAGGCCCAGTAGGTCATTTACTCAGCATTAGTTTCGGTGAAAACACAGTGCTGGTTTTAGTAAAAACCTAGATGGAGGACTGACTTGCCTGTCAATTTCCTAATTACAGAGAGATAGTATATTCGGAATTAAAGGCTGTGGGCCATTCCATCTTATTATTAAGGGTGACAACGCACCTGCAGCTTTCTTTGTATATTGGCTGTAGGTAGGCATGTATGTATGGACTGCATTAGCCACTCACCATCAAGCGGATTGTAAGATTGTTTGTCACTTTAGCGTTGTAGAAAAAGTTCTGTCGTTAATGAGATGGGTTATCCCTACATCTATCCCTATATACCTATGATATTCTAGTATTACCTATAATCCTCACTTACTACGTCAACAGGGCGAAATGTGGCGATGGATTCTATTACACCGTGGGTACTCCCTTGATACCACACTCTTCTATGTTCATTTGAAGTGTAAGATAGCAGTACACAAAGCTAAAATTTTGCTTAGAGATCAAATTGTTTTTCTTTATCAAACTCTTAAGGAAATATCGATGTAGATGATAGCATTATTTACAAACATCTTTTATAGATGCAATTTTAATTGTAGTTTTGTATTCATCTTATAAATTATAAATGTAAAAAAAAACAGACTGTAAGGAATGTAGTCCTGGTCCTCAGGGGAATAACTTCTTTCGTTAAAGTTGATTGTAGGTGTCAGTGTGTATCAGGTGAACAGCTAGCTCGTTTGTCTCTATCTTTATACATATAATTTTTCTATCCGCCTGTATGTGACTGAACTTCTCCTAAACGGTTGGACCGATTTAGACGAAAGTTTGTGTGTGTATGAAAAGTTGATTCGAGAATGGTTCAGATTCACAATGGCAACCGGTAGGTGGCACTGTTTTTGAGATCCAGAAATCATCCGTGCGAAATCGCTAGTATTATAATATATAAAATAACAACGATTGTTTACAGTAGGTGTAGAGGTAAAACACTGCATCAATTGCTAGATTTTCTAAAAATTAAAGGTAAGTCTCAAGGTATATGTACGCTTTAATAATTGCTAGTTTTTTTTTTATATATCTAAAGTGACAAACGAACTTACAGTCCATCTGATGGTAAGCGGGAACTATAGCCCAAGGATACCTGGAGCCGACTTCAAACAAAGAAGACTACTGATGCGTTATCACCTCTGAGGACCAAGACGGAATGCCTCACAGCCTGTCACTATACTGGCTTGTATATCTTTCAGGGCTAAAGACAGCAAGCAATGCAAGCACTGAATATGTGGCGGCTGAAAATATGTAAGAGAGTGGTGGCACCGCGCCACCCGGAAGGACTCCTAGGTGGAAAGGGAGCCCTAGCACCCGGCGCCTGGTCGAAATATGTACAACACTGTGTAAGTGTAATGAGCCGCGAGCAACCTGACTTCGATCCCCGACGGCATCACTATGATTTGTAATTTTACGTGCTGATTTCCCACGGTGAAGGCAGAGAAGGAAAACATTGTGAGGAAACCTGCATGTTTGAGGAATAAACTATTTTCGAGGACATGTTGAAAAGTCCGCCTAGGTGGACACTGGAACAAAGCGGCGGACTTATTGTTCCTTAATAGGCTGTTACTTTAGAAGAGACCCTCTAAGAGAAAAGGTGGTCCTAACACCGTTCTCTTAGTTAATGAGATGGTGCATCGTTAGAAACTAAGTTATACTTGGTAAAGCCATGTTGCAGCTCTCACAGAATACCACCGTAAAATAGCAATTAATGTAATATTACATATTCATATTGTAAGTACAAACAAAGGAAAAACATTTTTACTGATGATGAGGCATTCTATCTTAGACCCCAGGAGGGGCAACGCATTTACATATTGATTCTTAATCGAGGATAGATATGGGCCTATAAGCCACAACATCCACTTACCATCAGGTGAACTGTCTGCTCGTTTGTCACACTAATACAACTGTGAAAACTATTAGCTACTTATTGGTTTGATATGTTTTTAGCTAGTATTATATTGATGTAGCTGTACGTGTTTGTGTAGTTTACTTACTCAGGTGTCCATTAGGGCTATGTGGGGGGTGGTTCGACGAGGTGTCGGCGGGGGGAGCTGCCGGGCGCGTGCGCACAAATTTCCTCATGACGCGGGGAATCGAACCCGCACCACTGAAGATAGCACTACTCCTATACCACCGTACTTTTTTGTATTCACTGAGGTTTAAGTATCATGTCAGTTTTATTTGTTAGTCCTAAATAGTCTTTAGATTATACATAACTTTATTCACAAATACGTTGTAAAATAAGTTTATATAAATTTCTATCCAATATTTTATATATCACATAATTTGAAATCTGTTCTTTGGAAGTGACTTTGATACGTGGTAGTTTAGTTTTTGAAGTAAATTAGATCGCTAGAATTATTTATTGTGAAACCGCATACAAGTCCGTCCGGTCGCAGTCAGCAGCGTTCGGCACGCCATGCGCGCGCGTCCGACGACAGACGCACCGACACTAAACTAAACAGCTAAACACTAACATAAACAGTAACACTAATCAACTCATGCTCACTGTTAGAGATGTGAAATGTGAATAACGGCTAAAAATGGACAACAAACGTATGTGCTTAATGCTTATTTGCTTATAACCTTTTTCGTTTTATAATTAAACGTTGTAAAAAATCAACAGACGATGGGTAGAAAAGGTTTTCAAGCGGCAGCTTCGTGGGGCGGCCCCCCCACTAGATGGAGTGACGGCCTTTTAAGACATGCGGGGAGTCGATGGATGCAGATGGCTGTCCTACATAGTATATTATCATTGCTATATTTGGGGTCGGTATTTTAAAATAGCTGTATTGTTCATCGTCCTAGATGGCGTTGTTTCGGAAATTCATCAAAATGTGGGCGAGCGTGTAGAAATTGCTTTTTTATATTCAACTAGTTATATTGCTTACATTAAAAAGTGGTGTTACATTATATTATGCGGCCATCTCTAGTGCGGAGCCGGGCCGCCGGGCCGCCGGGCCGCGCCGCGCGCGAAACAGTTACAAGCGGTTCTTTCTGTTCCACTTGCAATCCACTCACACAGTCAATCAACTCATTACGCTGTCGTTACTTGTCGTTCACCCTACTAAATAAATAATTTAATTTATCGCGCCTAAACTGTTAAAGAGCACCGCAAACGCCGACTGTCTTTTCCATTGAGTTCAATGAAACTCGCTTATTTTGCACGCATTAACTAAAAACTGCTGAGAATATGAAAAAGCGCTAAACAGTAAATACCTACACCGGTGATGCAAAAAAACGACTCAAAGTTTGTAAGTCCAAAAACGCTTGGTCAAGTATGTCATTGAATTGAAAAGTATGATTTTATGTTATCGTTTTAATACTGAATAAAAACTAATTTGAAAGAAACTAACTTGAAATTAAATGAGCCCAAAAAAAACGGACATCTTGCTAGCTGATACATCTTCTTTATTAGCAATGTTTTTTTTATAGAATAAAGGTGACAAATGAGCACACAGTCCACCTGATGATAAGATTACTGTGCTTTAGACATCTATATTTATTCTCGTTTAAGAAACAATATGCAGATGTTTTATCACCCCTGAGGACTAAGATGGATTACCTCGTTTCCAGTAAAAAGGGTCTCCGGTTCTCTACGTTCACTATACGAAACACAGCAGTATTAAGATCATATTTTACGCATGTAGATGTCTATGGGCCAGAGCAAGCATCCACTTACCATCAGGTGGACTGTGTGCTCTTTGTCACCCTTTTTATAGTGGAAGGAGTAGCTAACATTTTGAGTGGTTTGTTGTGTCGTTGTTTTAATTTTATTACACGCAATAAGCGTATTAAACAAAGAGTATTTGGTATCGATTAGAAAGGATATAAAACCAGATTTCGGAAAAATATTAATAAGGCAAGGCTGTATGTTAGGGCGTTGGGATACAACAACTCCAAGTGCCAGTGGGAGGCTCGCCTGCACAAGCTAACCTGCTCATCCCACAATCCCAAAGATATAGCTACTTTGACAAGGGAACAGGTGTTCAGTTTACCCGGGGTTAGATATACCTGGGCTACATTCAGCTTTTAACTATTTCGGCAGCTTTATAATAATAACAACCAGCAAGAATAAAGACCCTCCATTGATAGGTACTCCGTCTTAGTCGGGTAACAAAAGAAAACAACCAATGACAGTGAAAATAGTAACGTTTATTGATCATCTCGACTACAAGCACATTTACAATGAAGACGGTCCAACGAAGAGTATTGTAGTATTCCTAGGTAATCTTCTCATAATACTTGCTACGTAGGTACATAGAAAAATAAATACAAGGGGTCACGAGTGCCGACAGTGATTATTCATAAATATATTATATATACATAAGGATTTTGAAACAATTACAAGAGCTTGCCGTGTCGTTGTTGAGAACAGATCGGTAATGTGAAATGAACCACATAGACGACAGCTCTCATAGATTACAATATTTAATGTATTATACCTACTATACATTAAATAAAACGGAAATATTAACGGATTTTATTGTGTTTAATTTTACTTATTTTTAATTGAACTAAACCCAAGCATACCACTGCAAAACTTCAAGATACAGTAAGGTCATTCTGCGTAGATCGGAGCTAAATTGATAATTAAAAGCTGGAAGAACTCCGGGTTAACTTTAACATCGGGACGTCAATCATATCAGTCTCTCCACGGACGTCGGGAATCAAAAAGAAGTAAAATTAAAAGCGATAAAACCTGTTATAATAGTTTTATTTAATGTGCAGTGTTCGCGTGAAAATAACAAATCCTTATATTATACTTTATTTTAATTTTAATTTAAAATTTTATAAGAAATTCGGAATCACATACAATTATGCTACACAACTCTCTTACAATATAATAACACAGCGAGCTAGGTCAGTTCGGTTCTTTAAATTATTTCCTATATAAATCTAATGGCGCAATAAAATCTATTAAGCTAATAAGAACGTAACGCGTTTAGAAAACGTGAGCAGCTTTTATCGAGGCAACTACTGTAACACCGCTCATGGATTTGAAAGTATGTTCGACGGTGACCACTGCAACGCACTGCAAAACTGAAGTGACATACGAACTAACAGGCCAGCTGGGTGACCGGTGTCTACAGCGGCTACAGATGCGTTGTCACCTCTCAACTGAGATGGCTTCTGACCGAGTCGTGTAAATGAGAGGAATATGAAATAGGAGATGGACAGCAGCATCATTCTGATAACAGCAATCAAGCCGCCTGGGAAGAGTGGCGAACATGGCAAACATTCCCCCCGTGAGACTATTGACACGATGCAATAAATTAATGAACTAAACTGATTGAACACCAAATTGTTTGCTACACATTATTTAACCTGTGCTCTTACTTGCTTTAACTGACGGTGCTCTATGGATACATTCAAAAGGGAAAGCACGTCATTTTATTGCCTAAGCGACAAGATGGTTAAAATGCCGTGTTCATCTTCTAGATTTATATTTATTTCTTTTTAAAAAACGTTACCCCCACACTAGGATTTTCTTCTGTATCGTGGAGGCAGTTTACAAACAAGTTGCACAAGGACAAAGGTATAGACCGGGAACAATTATTTGTAGGCCATACAAATACTTGTTCCGTTCGGGATTCGAACCCGCGGCCCCCAGCGCTGCAACTCACTAAACCACTGGGCCACGGAGCCGTCAACTATCAGTAAATTAAAAGAAAATAGTTACAGGCAGATACCTCGATTTTATTTATATGTATAAACGAGCTGTGCCTGCGACTTCATTCGCATAGAATAATTTTTAGTAATTTGTTAGTAACAAAGTCTCGGATTGGGGGCGACTAAATCTAGTCCAGTTCAATCCTCAGAAGACACAACGCGTTTACCGCTAAAAAGCACCCCTTTGTCGTATCTCCTCAGTTTCAAGGCACTCCCCTTGCTGCCTCAGCTAGCATCGGAATCATTGGAGTCGACATATCGAATAGCGTGCAGTTTCGTGGTCACTTGGAAGGGAAGGCCAAATTGGCCTCTAGAAAGCTTGACGTGCTCAGCAGAGCGAGACAGTATTTCATGCCGGCACATCGCTTGCAACTTTACAAAGCGCAAGTTCGGCCCCACAAGGAATACTGTTCTCATCTCTGGACGTGTGATACAAAAGGACGTAAGCTACATCGATTTTTCCCGGACGTGGCGTTGAGACTCTAGTATACCTGGGTCTCACCGGTCTACCAAACCTCTCAGATTCTCACCGGACATGGATGCTTTCAGAAGAAACTGAGCGACATGAAACTGTATGAAATTAGTATGTGTGAATGCGGTATGTCAGAGAAGGATGTTAACCATGTTCTATGGAAATGTTCTCTGTATGATGACCTAAGAGTGAAAATGATGGATGGACTAGTTCGTCCGGTTCAGGGACCAGTTTACTACTCGATCTCGTCAGCGATGTTGTAAACTACGGACTGTTGCGCAAGTTTGCGCATAGGTGGCACGATGGCAGGACAAGGCAGGATGGAAGGTTGGTAGGAGGGCCCGACGACGTAGGCGTCAATGTGTCGTCAGCCCCAGAAGGGGGAGAATGACGTTAAACTGGGACAAGGAATAGATTAAATATTTGTAGGGAGTCAAGAAAGTGTGCGCGGGAAAGAGCCACGTGCAACTACCGCGCGTATCTCCCGAGATTTGGCCCGTATGACCTGAGGGTCGGTGGGGCCATGGGAGGTGGTGGGTTGTTCTCAACTCTAGGCCGGGGCAATCGTCGACGACCGAGTTCTTTCTGATCAGCTCGATACACTGGCACTGCGTAGAGATGTTGCATCTCTTTGCGTATTTTATCGCATCTATCACGGGGAGTGCTCTGAGGAATTGTTCGGATTAATTCCAGCCGCTCAATTTCACCATCGCACATTGCGACAAAACTCGCGTTACCATACCATCTGGATGATTGGCGGTCTACCACTGTGCGATTTAGAAGAAGTCGTCTCCCTCGCACAACTTCCTTGTGAAATCGATTACCACCAGCGATTTTTACACCTTTCTAAAAGACCGGCAACGCATCTGCAATTCCCCTGGCGTTGCGGTTGTTCATGGGCGGCGGTAGTCACTTACCATCAGGTGAGCCGCATGCT